CTGGGTGTTATGCACAAACAATGGATCATGGAACACTACATCAAGAACTAATGATGTAATGTATGGTGATTAGCATAACAATAAAAAATTAAAAAAGATATCCTATTAGAAATAAACATTATAGTATACAGTTGGCTGGAGAACTAATTAAATTATTGATTAAACATACTAAATCATTGAACAAATGATGATGAAGTAAGATGCTTTAAAAGAATACACATATATAATGCCTAGTTAACTATTCCTTTTTTAGCATAGTTATTCTCCATTTCCATTTTTGTAAAAATCCAGGATTGGATTGGTGTACTCCTGGCTTGAAATTACAATTCACTCAGAAATAACATGCTGTTTATCTGCTGGCTCAAAACTAGGAGGCTCCAGGAGTGAGCTCAGAATTAACTATAGGAATATAAGAGTTGCGGTCTTTAATCTCTGTAATGATACTCCTCAAGTCCCAGCTACCTAGGGGCTATTTAGCCCTTCTTATCTCTTGCAACTTCTTTTGTCTCTCCTTCCTCCCTCAATGAAGGCAGGAGGCCAGGAGGACTAATAGCTGCCAGCATTTTTGTTATCAAAACCCAAGCTATTTCCTTAAAGCAGGCTCCTTAAAACAAAACGACAGAGAACTACTTTTTCTTTATAGTTTATTTCTAACATAACAAATCAGCTTTTATCAGAGTAAATCCAAAGGTCTAAACATCACACAGAATAGAAGTCTTATGATTTTGTTTGTTTTCACAACTTTATGGTAATGGTTATTAATACCTATTGCTCTCCACTTCATGTTCATTATCCTGAAGTTGCATGTATATCCACAGATATTACAGTTTTATGTCAATGTGCCTTTTGCTATTTGTTGTGGTCTCCTGAGATTCTTTCAGAAGATAAATGGCGTGTGTGTGTGTGTGTATGTGTGTGTGTGTGTGTGTGTGTGTATGTGAGAAAATGAGGTCAGGGGAGGAGGGAAGAAAAGTGGACAGATCAGTGAGAGAGAGAATAAGGTGTTCAAATGGTATTACCAATAAGTAGTATACATAGCAAAATGGCCCTGAAATCCAGAAATTTAGTTCTTATTCCTCTGATGAACTTCGCTAAAAAGGTTATTTGGGACTGGAATTGTCGCCTTGATCCTGTAGAACACACAAACAAGCTTAGTCTGTTTCATTTACATGCCCACTGTCTGAATTTGCTCTAGCCTCTGTTAAGGCATCGTCCACTGTTTTTAAATCTATTTAGGCCCCATTGTAGCCCATTGATTTTGTTTCATGTTGTGCTCAAATCAACCACCATTTTAGAGTAACTTAGAGGCATTTTATTTACTGGGTTCTCTTTGGAGTTCAGTCTCACCACGTAGGCCTACGAGCATCATCAGTGAAGTAACACACATTCTGTTCATGTTGTCACACGCATTCTGTCATAACCATGAACCACCTATGATATTGCCCCGTCTACTGTATTGCAGGAAAAACAGAGGTTTCTGACGGATGTTCTGCATGAAGTGATGCTGCTTGACGGCTTGGCCAGTTCCCATCCAGTATCACAGGAAGTGCTACAGGCAACAGATATTGACAGGGTGTTTGACTGGATCGCCTATAAAAAGGTGGGAATAGATAAGACCCAAGTGCCAATTGGATGTTTCACAATCCCAGGGCAGCCAAACTATTTCATGCGAGATCTATTCTTCTCGTCCTCCTGGCAGGTAGAAATGGACCGAGTTAGAAAATAGAGAGTCACTAGGTTCATGTCATTTTATGAGTTAGGGTTTTGCTTTATAAATCAGCAAGATGGAGATGAATGTTTGCCAAACAATGTAAAGAAATGTTGGGAGTATTAATGAATAAATGTTTGGAGTCTTGTTATGAAATCGCTGTACAAATGGTGTTGTGTCAGTGTCAGGTTTTATTATTATTAATAAGAGAGCTGACCTACACAGTGACAGATTATTTGTCATCAGTACCCCCTAAATACTTATTTTGCTTGGCTGATACAAATGGTTGTAGGCAGCGACACATATATTTTATAAACATTGTTTAAGGGATATTTAGGGGATTAAAGATCTTTCTTGGATAATAATCATGATAAGTGAAATTTTAAAGACTACTTTGACTGACAAAGATTTTGGACCAAGGATTAGACACAGAAATAAGACACACTCTGAACTTTTTCCCATTGTTACGTGGATTAAGATTTTTCCTTTCTCTATCCCTTAGTTGTTCTAATTTAGCATAAGTATGTATATCTCTTTGTTTAATACTTGTAGCTACTTGGGAATTGTCAAAATAGTGTTAAAGTCTAGTTCATCTTTGGTGTAGATTGAATTGCATTTACTGGGATTTCCATGTACTTTATTGATTTATAAATGTTTTAAGTTTTTAAAACTGTTGCTAATATTTTTCCTGAAATATTTCTATTTACAACTAGAGGTCAAATAATGATTCATCAGGATTCCTTGCTACACTAATTTGGATTTTGGTTTTGTACTCCGGAAATGACTATCTATATGCTATAATATGTAAAGATACAAATTGTGTTAGAAAATATCTTTTTAAGTCACTGATCATTGCATTGGCTGTAAAAGGGTTTTTGATGATTTGGAAAAATAAGTGGAAGTATAGAACCATACTTAAAATATATGTTAAAATATTTATGTAAAATATCAAAATTTAAAATATATATTATTTTTTATATATGAGGGGTTTTTTTATTATATATTTTTAAAAAATTTTTTATTTAAATTCAGTGTAGTTAACACATATTTTATTAGTTTCAGGGGTAGAATTTAGTGATTCATCAGTTGCATATAACGCTCCATGCTCACTACATCAAATGCTGTCCTTAATGCCCATCACCCAATTACCTCTTCCCCCAACCACCTGTCCTCCAGCAACCCTGTTTGTTTCTTAGAGTTCAGTGTCTCTTATGATTTGCTTGCCTCTGTATTTTCATCTTATTTTATTTTTCCTTCCCTTTCCCTATGTTCATCTGTTTTGTTTCTTAAATTCCACATATAAGTAAAATCATATGGTATTTGTCTTTCTCTGATTGACTTATTTCACTCAGCATAATACCCTCTAGTTCCAGCCATGTCATTGCAAATAGTAAGATTTCATTCTTTTTGATGGCTGAGTAATATTCCATTGTATTTATATATCACATCTTCTTTATCCATTCATCAGTTGGTGGACATCTGGGCTCTTTTCATATTGTGGCTGTTGTGGACATTGCTGCTATAAACATTGGGGGGTGTGCCACTTCGGATTACTATGTTTGTATCCTTTGGATAAATACCTAATAGTGCAATTCAAGCATGGGGCTTGAACTCACAATTCCAAGATCAAGAGTCACTTGCATGCTCTATGAATGAGCCAGCGAGGTGCCCCCTCTCTCTTATCTTTTTGATAGTAGTCATTCTAACATTTATGTAGTAATGTCTCATTGTGGTTTTGGTATGCATTTCCCTGATGATTAGTGATGTTGAGCACCTTTTTATATGGGTCATTTGATCAATTTTCTGTCTTCTTTGGGAAAAAATGTCTATTCATGTCCTTTGCCCATTTTTAATAGATTATTTGTGGGGTTTTTTGCTATTGATTTGTGTGAGTTCTTTATACATTTTGTATATATTGCTCCCTTATCCAATATATATTTTGGGAATATTTTCTCCCATATTGTAGGTTGCCTTTTCCATTTATTGATTGTTTCTTTTGCTGTACCAAAGCTTTTATTTTTTTTTTTAAAGATTATTTATTTATTTATTTAATTGACAGAGAGATAGAGAGAGACAGCGTGAGAGGGAACACAAGCAGGGGGAGTGGGAGAGGGAGAAGCAGGCTTCTGGCCGAGTGGGGAGCCCAATGCCGGGCTCGATCCCAGGACCCTGGGATCATGACCTGAGCCGAAGGCAGTTGCTTAACCAACTGAGCCACCCAGGCGCCCCGCTGTGCCAAAGCTCTTAGTTTGATGTAGTTCCAATTGTTTATTTTGCTTTTGTTGCCTGTGTTTTTGGTGTCTTATCCAGGAATTCATTGCCAAGACTGAAGTCAAGGATCTTTTCCCTTATGTTTTCCTTTAGGAGTTTTATGGTTTCAGGCCTTACATTGAAATATTTGATTCATTTTTAGTTAACTTTTTTTTTAAGATTTATTTATTTATTTATTTATTTGAGACAGAGAGAATGAGAGAGAGAGAGCACATGAGAGGGGGGACGGTCAGAGGGAGAAGCAGACTCTCCGCCGAGCAGGGAGCCCAATGCAGGACTCCATACAGGGACTCCTGGATCATGACCTGAGCCGAAGGCAGTCGCTTAACCAACTGAGCCACCCAGGCGCCCCATTTTTAGTTAACTTTTGTGAGTGGTGTAAGATAGGGGTCCAGTTTCATTCTTTTTGCATAGGGATATCCAGTTTTCTCAAGACCATTTATTGTAAAGACACCCCATTGTGTTTTCTTGGTGCTCTTGTCACAAATTAGTTGACCACATATGCTTGGATTTATATCTAGACTCTCTTTTCTTTCTGCTCTACTGTTTCTTTGTAACTATTTTTGTTTTTGTTTTGTTTTGCCAGTACCATACTGTTTTGATCAGTATAGCTTTGTAATATAGCTTGTATCAGGAAGTGAGATGCCTCCAGTTTTGTTCTTCTTTCTCAGGATTGTTTGGCTATTTGAAGTCTTTAGGATATGGTGTATATATATATATATATATATATATATATATATGCCATTGGAATTTTGATAGGGATTGTATTGAATCTGTAGATCACTTTGGGTAGTAGAGAGATTTTCACAGTATTAATTCTTCCAATCCAAGATCATGGGATATCTTTCCATTTATTTGTGTCTTCTTCAATCTCTTTCATCAATGTCTTATGGTCTCAGTGTACAAGTCTTTCATCTCCTTGGTTAAATGTATCCCTATGTATTCTTTGCCTTTGATGCTATTGTAAATGGGATTGCTTTTTAAATTTCTCTTTTAGATAGTTCATTGTTAGCGTATAGAAACACAACTGATTTCTGTATGTTGAATTCGTATCTTGCAGTTCTGCCGAATTAATGTATTAGTTGCATTTTTGCACCAAAAATGCAAAACTTTAGGGTTTTCTATATATCAGACCATATCATCTACACAAAGAGATAATTTTACTTCTTCCTTGTTGATTCAGATACCTTTTATTTCTTGTTCTTGTCTAGTTGCTATGGCTAGGATTTCTAGTACTGTGTTGAATAGGAATGGTGAGAATGGGCATCCTTGTCATTCCTGATCTTAGAGGAAAGGCTTTTAACTTTCACCACTTAGTATGATGTTAGCTATGGGCTTGTCTTCATATCTATGTATCTTTGTGCTTTAAGTACCACTAAAATACTGTCCTTCCTGTGTGTTTTCAAGTGATGATGGATCTACAGTATTTTCAAAGGAGACTTCACAAGAAGGAAGTTTTAACAGCTATACTGAGGTATAATTAAAATACAGAAAACTGTACGTGTTTAAAAGGTACAATTTGATATATTCTGACATATGTATACACAGTGAAAACATTACCTTGATCCATTTAATGAGCATATCCATCAAATGTTTTCTCATGCCTCTTTGTAATCACTTTCCCATCTCTCCTCTCTCCTTCATTGATCAACTTTTTCACTTTCGATTAAATTGCATTTTCTAAAGTTTTATATAAATGAAATCATTAAGTATGTACTCGTACTCGTTTTTATCTGCTCTCTTTCACTCAACATAATGATTCTGAGATACATTCATGTTGTAGAATGTATGGATACAATACAGTTTCTACATTCTCCTGGATATTTGGGTTGTTTCTAGTTTTTGTCTGTTACAAATAAAGCTGCTATGAACATTTGTGTGCAGGTCTTTGTATGTATATTTGCTTTTATTTCTCTTGGGTAAATACCTAGAAGTGGAATGTCCAGGTAATATGAAGGTATGTTCAATGTTTTAAGACTGCTGATCTGTTTTCCACTGTAGTTGTACCATTGTATCATGGCATATTCCCGCTGAACATGTATCAAAGTTCTACTTTCTCCACATCTTCACCAACATAAACATGGTATAATCAGTTCTTTTAATTTTAGATATATTTTTAAAAGATTTTGTTTATTTATTAGAGAGAGAGAGAGCATGAGCTGGAGTGGAGGGGGAGAAGGGAAGGAGAAGCAGACTCCTTGCTAAGCAGGGAGCCCAACATGGTGCTCAATACCACAACCCCAAGATCATGACCTGAGCTGAAACACTTAAAACGACTGAGCCACTCAGGCACCCCTAATTTTAGATATTGTAATGGTATCTCACTGTAGTTGTATATTACATTTCCATAACCACTAATGATATTGACCAGTTTTTCATTTGCATATTTTCCCTCAAATATCTTCATTAGTGAAGAGTCAGTTCAAATCCTTTGCCCATGTTTTTTTTTAATTTGTTTGTTTTCTTATTACTGAGGTTTTTAAAAAAGATTTTATGTATTTATTTGAAAGAGAGCATGAGCCAGGGGGAGGAGCAGAGGGAGAGGGATAAGCAGACTCTGCACTCAGCGTGGAGCCTGCTGTGGGGCTCAGTCTCATGACCCTGAGATCATGACCTGAGCC